CCTGCTGCTTCGCCTTGCACCTTGATGTCACGGAGACAGCTTCTGTCCTCAGACCTCATCAACCAACCTCTGCCAGCCTCAGACTTTTCTCCTGCAGCTTCCTCACCTTCTCAGCCTTCACAGAATTGAAGAGAGTCAGGGCGTGCTGGATTAGGCTTTGGATTAACAGAATGTTGTGGCTGCTTTGATCTTCTATGCAGACCACCCACATTTTCTCAGTAACAGCAACAGGGCTGCTTCGCTTTCTTATCATTCGTGTGTTCACCGGAAAGCACTTTTAATTTCCTTCAAGAACTTTTCCTTCCCATTCACAACCTGGCTAACTGCTCGGTGCGAGAGGCCCAGCTTTTGGTCTATCTCAGCTTTCAACGTGCCTTCTTCACTAAGCTTAATCATTTCTAACTTTTGATTTAGAAACATGCAACTCTTACTTTCACTTGAATACGCAGAGGCCATTATAGGGTTATTAATTGGCCGAATTTCAACATTGTTGTGTTTCAGGGAATAGGGAGCCCCAAGGGAAGGGAGAGAGATGGGGAGTGGCTGGTAGGTGGAGCAGTCTTACATGGGCACTGTCTGTGGTGCCCCCAATTATAATACCAACATCAAAGATCACTGATCCCAGATCGCCATAACAGATATAATAACGAAGTTTCAAATATTATAAGAATTACCAAAATGTGACACAGAGACACGAAATGAACAAATGCTGTTGGAAAAATGGCGCCAATAGACTTTCTCAACGCAGCACTGCCATAATCCTTCAACTTGTAAAACATGCAGTAGTTGTGAAGCACAGTCAAGTGCAGTGCAATAAAACGAAGTCCGCCTGTATGAAACTGGCCTCCCCTGCACTGCCAATTCCCCGTCCCGCTTTATTTTTCTCCATGACTTTGTCATTGTTGAATATACTGCATGCAGGCTCCTCTTATTATCCACCACTCTCTGACTAGAATTTTTGTCTGTTTTAATCACTGCTGTGTCCCCAGCACCTAGGACCCTGCCTGGCACATGGCTGGTTCTTAGTACATCTTCACTGAATGAATGCTGACAGTAATGGGAGCATTTCCTCAACCTAGGTGACGGGAGGACAGGTGGAAGAGCCTAGAACACAGGGGCTCCAGTTTGGGTGGAAGGTTCCAGGGGCACCCCAGGGTCCTGCCCACCTCAGCCTTGCCCAGCGTGCACAGTGTCTCCAGGATTTTGTGCTGCAGCAGGTATTCCAGACAGGGCCCTGCCTCGCCAGCTGCTGTCTGCTGCCTCTCCTCGTAGACCAGGATGTCCAACATCTGCCTCAGCCGCCAGGGAATATCTGTTTTCTTGGCGGGGGTGTTTTCATCTAATAGAGATTCAGGAAACAAAGGTGGGGGGGGGAAGAGGGGCACTCTGTGTTGAGGGGGTCAAGCCCACAGTCCCCCAGAAACACTGGGGGGGGGCGGAGGGTAAACCTGGAGTAAGGCCAGGTTAACAGTTTGCTTCAAAGACCAAAGGAAATGGAAGTTAGCACTTGGTGCCTCTATATTTAACAAGACAAAAGATCTTTTAGGGACACCTGGGTGGCTCAGTTGCTTAAGGGTCTGACTTTGGTTTTGGCTCAGGTCATGATCTCACAGTTCATAGGTTCAAGCCCCACGTCGGGCTCTGCGCTGACAGTGTGGAGCCTGCTTGGGATCCTCTCTCTGCCCCTCCCCTGCTCACTTGCTCATTCTCTCTCTCTCTCTCAAAATAAATAAAATAAACATTAAAAAAATTACAAAAAAGTGGCATCATTTTTTCTCCAAACTCTGGGACATACAGAAGGGTACACTACCCAGGCTGCAGGCCAGCTCTGGGCCAAAGTGACAAGCCATGGGCTTAGGGGTCTCTGTCACATAATGTAGAAGCTGTCTTCTAGCAGCTTCCTGAGAGGTAACCTCCTGTCCTCTTTACACTCACAGGAGACAGTACTCCATTTTTTACAAGGCAGAAAAAAGTCCATGCACAACCACAGGTTCGGAGGCAAAGCAGTTTCACTGTGCGAAGGTCTTGGTGGAGAAGCTGGGGCTTTTGTAGTCAGAGTCTCAGACGGAGTGTTCTTGTAAAACTAGTTTTGATGCTTTGGGACTGGCCTTGGAGCACCCCCTAGCTTTTCTCAAAAGCATTGGCTTTTGAGTAACTTGGCTCACCTCCCCCACATCTGCACCTCTGGTCTAGGTACTGTTCAGGAAATGAATGGATGGGGTCAGATGAAACCTCAGGTGGACCTGAGTCAGTTCTGGATCTTTTCCCACTGTCCTGATAGATTGGGGCTCTCTGTCAAGAGATGTTCAGTCTAAAAGGTACAGACTTGAGGCACCTGGTGGCTCAGTCAGTTGAGCGTCCGACTTCAGCTCAGGTCACGATCTCGCGGTCCGTGAGTTCGAGCCCCGCGTCAGGCTCTGGGCTGATGGCTCAGAGCCTGGAGCCTGCTTCCATTCTGTGTCTCCCCGTCTCTCTGCCCCTCCCCCGTTCATGCTCTGTCTCTCTCTGTCTCAAAAATAAATAAAACGTTAAAAAAAAAAATAAAAAAAAAATAAATAAAAGGTACAGACTTCCAGTTAAAAAATAAGTAAGTCCTGGGAATGTTAAGTACAGCATGGTGACTATAGTTAATGTACTGTAAATTTGAAAACTGCTAAGAGTAGATCTTAAAAGTTCTCATCACAAGAAAAAAAAATTGGTAACTATACAGGGTGATGGATATTAACTAGACTTATTGTGATGATAATTTCACAACATATCCATACATTGAATCAGTATGTTGTATATCTGAGTTATATGATATGTTACATCAATTATATCTCAATAAAAAAGGGTCTTCAGTTTAATTTTTTTAATATCTAATGACATTTCTGATTCCTTTTAAAAATATTTATTTATTTTGGGGGAGAGCGTAAGCAGGGGAGGGGCAGAGACGGGGACAGAGGATCTGATGCTGGCTCTGTGCTGACAGGCTGACAGCAGCAAGCCTGATGTGGGGCTTGAACCCACAAACTGCAAGATCACGACCTGAGCCGAAGTCAGATGTGCAAATGACTGAGCCACACAGATGCTCCTCTGATTCTTTTTTTTTTTCATGTTTATTTTTTTGAGAGAG